GTCACTGGACGGGGGCCATCCAAAGCCGAGGAGGCTAGACGCGTACTCTCGCGCATGTGAGCGAGAGAAAATGACCGGAAACCAGAAACTACGACTGCCAATTGGAAAACATTTAGAATAATCTGCTTACTCAAAAGTGGTTAGTAGTAAACACGAGAGTGTAACAATTAGGTCCGCAGAAGGCTGTGCCCGCTGCCAACAGGCTGAGACTTCGACGGATTTATTTTATCGGAAAATAATTCCACAATTTACGGTTTATTTTCGTAGGAGATGATTCCCAATAATTATAAAAAAAGTGCAAGCAATCGAGTTGTCGACAATGGCGACTATTGAATTATGCAAGTATCTCAAATCATAAGGGAATTTATTTGCGAGAAAAGCGAATTCATGAACCTTAAGGAGCGCTGATGCCCGAAGCACGTAACTGTGAGTTGACATGAGCAACAGCAAGAGAGTTAACATACCTAAGCAAGTAAAACTTCTCTCGTGGAGCGATTTGCACAGGTGGTTACAACCTTTATCAACCGACAGCCCGCAAGTACTCGTATGCAAAATGACCACAGGTCAGTGTTGCAGGGCAAGCCACCTTGTAAAGACGATTTTTTACTATTTCACAGCGTCTCTTCTAAGCTTAATTAGTAATATATAGGTTTAACCGGTTGTGATATACATATTTGGCATTGGAAATATAAGCCAATTCAATAAATTATAACGACAGATATGTCAGCTGGACAGCAAAATGCAACTCACTTGTTGCTAATTATGAAAACATCCGCCACATTGTAATTTAGTGACGGACTGCGGTAAATAATATGCACAGAAATCGCTGGGTGCATTGAGCCCCATATTCAGACAAATAAATGCTCATTCTACAAACGGGTAGTGCTACAGAATCTATCGACGCACCTTCAGGGAGACAATTCGCAGTGCGATAAAATTACTGTGCTTGTCGTGACAAAAGCCCCATACTATTCAGAATGCTGCACCTTTTGCTACAGCTTTGTAGAAGAGAACGTTTGTACAAAAAAAGAAAAAAATGTATTTCTAACGTCAATCAAAATATCAACACAAATCAACGCAAATCAACCGTATCTAAATCCTGGAAAGACATCAGTTGTACAGAAAAGGGAATGTTGGGGCAGGTCATGAGAGGCGGTGAACGCCGCATAAGAGGTGGAACATAGCCAGGTGGATACTTTTCCTCCGACGGTGAGAGCATCAAAATTCCAGACATGTCCTGCCACAGGGAAGACAGCCACTCCTCGCTGCCAACCTTAGCGGCCATAGTATTCACTGAACGGTGGTCCTCGCGAGACAGTGCAAAGGAGGAACCGTCCCACTTC